GGCACTAGCTAGAGGAGAGACAACTGGAGATAATGTAAAGGGATCATTAGCCTGAAAGAAACTAGTGCAGTTCAAAGATCAATCCTGGGACTAACTTTGTTTAACATTTTCAGTAGTTACCCTGACACTTAGTGTGCTAATGACTTCACTAATGACTGAAAGTTGAACAGCATTTTTATTATAAAGAAGATTTTTGAAACATCATACGGGAAATATTTGAAGACTAGAGATGGAACAGCTTTGGTGATTAGATGAAATTTAACAGTACAAAATGGAAAATGATCTACCTACTGACAGGTAAGTACTTCTGCTATTGGCAGAAATCATCTGTGGGAAATCATCAGAGGAAGAGAAAGACCAACATGTGCTATTCAGTTGTGGAATTACTGTAGCTTCTAATGTGATGAAGCTTTCAAAAGGACAAATAGGATCATAGACTGTAGCAGATGGGAATGTATCTTCATCTGGAATACTATTTGTATTTCTAGTCAGCATGGTATAAGGATGTTGAATTTCGGCTGGAACAAGTGCAAAGGGAAATTAAAATCATCAGAGTACTGGAGATGAGATTGGTACTATCCAACAAGAGAAGACTAAAAGTTCTTGGCTTGCTTAATAAAAGTTGAGAAGGAACGTGAGTGATCTCTATAAATACTGGAGAGTGAGACGACCTCCTTAAGTTAAGCAACAGTGCTAAGCAAAAAGAAATGCATGCAAACTGGCAATGAATAAATTTAGTTTTGACTCACATGCTTGGCTTTCAGCTATGACATCATTCGAAATAATTTTATGAAAGGATCCTAATAATAAAATACTACTAGTAGTACGGTGAAATGAGGATGGCCTATGAATGTGAGGACCATTCTGGTCTAAAGATAATAGTAAGACAATATTTCAGTAAGGACTTTGATCTTACCGTACACTAAAATCTCATCTTAATCCTGCTACTTCTTTGTTCCACAAGTGGAAAGGATTTATTTTGGTTTCCCAGAGACTTATGATCTGTCATTTTCTTTCCTTGCAAATAAGTCTCTCTTCTGAAAGTGCTACTACGCTTTTTCTTCCATATTGTCCAATAGACTAATGTAATTGGTTTAAACAAAGAGTAATTGTCTCTTATATTTTGCTTGCAGCTTATTGATGCTTTATCAGATCTGCAGAAGGAACTGTGTTCCTCAAAGTCTGTTCACTTTTTTCCAACAAGACCAACGAAAATAAAATGGATTTATTGTTTTCCTCTTACGTCAGCAAACAGAACGCCTCAGATAATGAGGAAAAATAGGAAATACTTGTGTTATTTTAATTGTCATGCTTGTTGTTATAGTTGCATTGTGACCTTTTGTGACCTAACCAAAGTTCTTCTTTCTCTGGAATACGGAACTAAGAGAGAGATTTTGGTTTGTAAGAATAAATTATCACAAACTCTTAGTGCATGAACGAGTTTACCTTGGAGACACAATCAGAAATTAATTAACTCCTGATGACTTCAGTCAAAGGAGACGGAATATGTAAAACTATCACAATTAGACTCTGAAGCAAAAAAAACTGAGGTAGCTGGAAGAGGAGAGGAGTTGTACTGTGTATTGCCAATTCTGTTGTGACACCGAATCTGACCATTTCCAAATAGAGAGAGGGACTGTGCTTTCACTATGAACAGACACAAAAGCTTTGCTGTTCCATTCTAACAGAATAGACTCTAAATGTCTTATTTTAGCTAACTAATAGAAGGGTATCTTGTTTTTAAAAAGATGTTATGTGCAGCTGTAAATATCTGTTCCTAAGGGGTCAGGTTCATCTAAACTCACTGGGGAGCAATGGTGAGAAATAGTGGTGCTGGTGGAAAGGCCCAGTCTCAGACTCGTGGAGCCACAGCATTATCTTCACAGAAAGGAGAGACCCCAGCCAACTAGCAGAAGAGCAACACTTCTCAAGAAACGGCACACAAATTAGAGGCTAGTGGGATCTAATTTTCAAAGATTAAAACTAATCTCATTTTCCAAAGCTAAAACGAGTATTTTGTTCTGGCATACATACTATTATTTAAGATTTGTCACCAGTACCATTCCAGTGACCTGTTTTCAGTAGTTCTTAACTAGGTTAAAACACCATCGCATCCATTTCAGGGAACTGGACGAATGAAGATAACAGGTAACTTTTAATTATAGTCTTAAAGGATAGTTGGCCTTGCCCGGACAAGACAACAAAGGTGTTTCTAAATAAACAAGATTATTATGACTGCAGTAGGGAATTAGGTGTGAAGCATCAAGCTACTTAACATAAATATACTCCTTAGAATAAGACCTGGCCATAATCAAAAATAAGAAAATTCCCAAGACAGTATGAAATATAAGGAAATCACTGAATTTTCAGCATTCATAAGCAAATGTGAAACTTATGATCGGTGGCCTGGATCCCCTAATGGATTTTGTATCCAAACGATATATGGGATTAACAGTTCTCTTAACCTCCCCTAATCTCATTCCACGCATCATAAAAACACTGATGTAATTTTTGGCAGTTTTTGCCACCAGTCATGCCATCACCTATGTTAATACATTTTTTCTCTGTTTCCAATGGCAAATCACTTTTCTGCCAAAACAAAATGTACCTTTCCATACGTTATTATTGTTGGAAGGCATCTCCAAAGTACCATAGATTTTACAAATGGTCTCTGTAAACAAAGTAACAATTTCTGTTTTTCACTCAATTACCCATCGTTTTTCTAAACTAAAAGAAAATGATAGAAAAGAATATCTGAGTTACAACTGTCAGTTACAACTATTATTCAGCACATGTGACTTAAAAATGTAATTCCCCTTTTTATATTGAATTGAATAACATTTGTGCATATACTAAATGGTGACTTATGCTCTGTAGCATATCTCACTCAAGTTTCTTACCAGTTACATTTTACTAATACAAAGAGGTAATGTTTATCTCTTTTCAGCTTGAACTCAAGCATGAGAGCAATTTACATTTAATT